GGCAGAGAGAGCGAGACAGAATCATGACTGTATCATTTGGTATCAGAAACCAGGCACGGAATGAATGACCTATTTGTCGACGGATCAAAGCAATTCCCTTTATTACTGACAACTTGTCTGGTTCTTAAGGAGATCTTATCAGTGAGCTTAGCTCCCTTCTGCCAGGCAAAACTGAATCAAATGAGAAATTATCATGCCACCAGGTCTTCGGGGAAAAACAGAGAAGTGGAGATGAAGGAAAGAGAATGAAGAACACAGAAGTGCTGCTCCACCACCACAGTCACTGGGGCGCAGATGAATTAATTCTCACTAAAAAATTCATGTTAACTAACACTTTAATAAGAATCCTACTGCTACCACTTAAGTATGTGACTGCACTGCATGTTGTAGATATACAGTACTACATATTTTAAAGATATGACGCTATTTATTAAAGTGAAATGGATCCAAAATACAAGTTTTGATTAGGTTATCTATACTCTGTGCTGACATTAGTGTGAGACCGTCACAATAGAAGTAGAGCTGTTTATATTAATCTACCAGAAACCAAAACCCCTGCATAGTGTAATGCAGTTCAATAGAAGTACAGTAGTACAGTATACCTAATCCACCCCACTAAACATAAATGGGTGGAGAAAAAAAATACTACAGTAGAAACACTTTTACATGCAGTACACAGCACAACTGATGGTTCAAAATGATTCAAGAAGTTGCCAGCCTAGATTGTATTCCCTTAAGTTGAGGTGTATGGTATTTGATCTTAAGTTGGACAGACTACATGCCCCAAAGTACAAACTCAGTGCAACAAAGTGAATATAGCTGTGATCACTGCAACAAATGTGATGACACCCTAAGCTCTGTGGAGCTCTATTGCATTTGTCACCTCACTGTTTTGATTTCTGGGCTGTTTAAGTGCTTAGTAGTCCCTGCCCTGGCAGCTTTGATTTTTGGCCACAGTATAGGCACCTGCTGTCAGCACCAAACTGCAGACAAACGAGTTAGTGAACACAGTGGTGCATGTAGCCACTAAAGAAAAAAAAAGATATTTCCACAATTGGAGAGCAAAACAGAGCTAAAATTAGAATGAACATTGAACTTATCAGGCAGCCAGAAATATAACTCCATATAAATGCTAATGTTGCTTCTTATCTGCGGGAAGTTGAAATAAGCAGCAGTTTGCTATGATGTTTACTGTAAGAATTTAAAAAGCAATATGTCATGGTTGTGTTTATAGCCTGTTCATACTGCACACAAGTGGCCAAGAACAGCTACTGTAGGTTGAATCACTTCAGAAAAGTTGGTACTGCATGGCTAATGTGTTGGGTTATATTACTTTACATATGTTTCTATTTTTCTGGCCACTAAGTAGAGTTGGGGATTGAGTTCACATGAC